ACGAGACAAATTGTAATAATAGATTCAATGGCCTCTTCAGCCATAAAACTGTGATGGAGGAAGTAAACTTAAATTGACTTTTAAACACATTAGCCTCCTGTAAACACTCTCAAATCGACCCAGATGTGAAATGAAATTTCTAAGAGACAGTAAACCACAGTTTAATCTTTTAAATATAACAAAGTCTATTAGAGGCAAAGCTTTGAAGAGGCTTACTCTTTTTTTTTTATTATTTTTTCAAGGAAAAAAAAATTAGTGAAACAGTGCTCTTGCCTTGCAGAAGAAAGAAACACTACCTTTTAAGTGAAAGAAGAATACTAGCATAGGACCTCAGCTTACAAAAGTTTACCTCTCCTTGGAAAACAAAAGAAAGATTCACTGTATCATTCAGACACTGATGATGAAAAGGAAAAAAAAAATATCCAGTGTAAAAAATCAACACTTCAAAAATATGATTTTTAAACTGGGGTTTATAAAACCACCAAGACCCAGTTCATTGAAACACTGGAACAGGTTGCTCAGAGAGGTGGTAGATGCCCCATCCCTGGAAACATTCAAGATCAGGTTGGACGGGGGTCTGAGCAACCTGATCTAGTTGAAGATGTTCCTGCTCATTGCAGGGGAGTTGGACTAGATGACCTTTAAGGTCCCTTCCAACCCAAACCATTATATGATTCTATGATAATTTTTACATTGAGAACAAAACGAACTTGAAAGATACACCCACGACCACCAAACTCCACAGTAGTCTTATTTGCAGGGAAATTTATGGTACTGCCTTCCTTTGCCTTTTTTGTAGTAAGTCTAAAAGGCTAGCTGATGAAGAACCAAGAACACTTCATATTTATGTGCTGTACTTCTATAAAGAAGATAGAAGATATTTTCCAGTAAGATGATGATGATTGTGTTAGGATATCTGAAGATACTATAGGATTCTGAAGCAACTTAGAGGAACTAACTAATAATACATAAAAAATCAATACTCGACTGGATTAGCATCATGGGACCTGTGATATTTTGCTGCTACAGGTAAAAAGTGAAAAGAAGTTAATTATCTATAGATAAGACTTGACAGTTAGTACAGAATCTCATACTGCTTAGGTCTATACCGCTACCTTATTTTGCAGTAGCTTAAAGCAGGAGAAAATATGTAGATGAAGTGGAGGAAATAGCACTTGTAGACTCAATAGCTTTTGTTCCCAGACTTTAATACCATATACGAGCTAAAAATCCCAAGATTTAGCATCCAAGTTATTTGATATTTGATAAATACGATGTCACTTATTTAAGAAAATATCGTGACAATTCATAACACATTCTGAAAGAAAAATTGCCTAAGGAATAAGACAGAGATCATAATGTGAGATTGTTCTATTAAATCACGGACATCCCAGAGGTTCCACTTCTCCATCTGCATCATAACCATGCAAACAGGGATTGTATCCTGTCTACATCCTGTTTCATAAGAGAGTTCAATGATAAATTACGATGATTTGTAACTACCATGTATACTGCCCGAATTCCATCTTAAAGTACCTACTTCAATGCTTCAAATGAACACAGTTCACAAAATTTTCCACTTCTGATTGTAAGAAAACAATTTCCTGTAACTCAGAAGGTGACACATCCTTCTTATTCATTGCATTGCAGCTTATGGGCAAACATAGTGAAACATGTTTGTATTACATAGTGGAAATGTAAATATTTCCTTACATTTCCATTCTGGTCTTATGAAAAATGAGTTAAAGCTATGTCCTTTTTTTTGGTACTTAATAATAATTAAACTCTCATAAAAACAAACTCTACTGGCTTGTTAGTTGATAAAACAGTCATGTTTCTAAAATCTACTCCACAGACATTTTTATTAATGACATCTAGTATGATGTTACAGCTTATCATCATGAGGTCCCTTATACTTCTGTTAAATAACTCTCTATCTGCTTGAAAGAACACTGTAGTTATAATCTCTCTAAACAACACAAGTCTATCTTTAGACTTACGTGAAAAGATTGGGACCAGTCTAATTTCAATACCTGGGACTTAGTTCAACTTTATTACAAAAATCCCCTTTCCCCCTAAAAAACAATTTACACACACTGAAAAAAGACTTCTTTTCTTAAGTTAAAAAAATTCCACAGTCTCAAACAAAACAAAAGTTGTACTCTAGAAGGCATGCTTTGAAGACATCGAGGGAGATAATTCTCTTCTCTTTGTGTTCTCCTGGGCTACACACAATCTGGTCTTTTCAGGTACAGGTGTGTCAATGTAAAAAGGTAAGTAAAATGGCACACATGCAAATGCATGAAAGCAAAAAAAAATGTTTAGAACATTGGTAGCCCCTGAATGCTTTAGATATAGCAACTCTTATTTTTGGAGAAAAATGCTACTACAAAAGAGAGTGACCATCATAGATACTGAAAAGCTTTTCCATAATGACTGTGTTTTTATGCATAATTAAGGGAAGAGTCCTATCAGTCAAACTTTACTACAGTTACATTACTTTCAATGTTGACATGCTTTTTCTAAAGGAAAGCTGCCCTTTTCTGGTTTAAAAGATAAACTACTCCAAGGAATATAACATACAGGAAGACTCCTGTTCTTGAACAACAAGGTCATCTACATACGGATTTGCACTAGTTATTGAGTATATTTTGCTGGGTTATCATGGTACTACACATTATCTAGGTACAGAAAGATTAATAAGTATTGTATTTTCTGTATTGAAAAAAATTTAAGGTGTACTGAGCACTGAAATGGTTAGAAGCACAGGGGGTTTTAGAGTCAATAAGAGAACTTAAACGTCACAATAGCTTTTATTTAATAGAGGGGTTTTTTTATATGTTAACCATCAACTACAGGAAATTGCCATGCTGAAAGAGGAATAATTGACTATGTTAAGCTGAATCAATGTTTTTCACTAAAAATTAGAAGAAGAACATGAAAGTGAACAAGTTGGTTATTATACTGCTTATAAACTTCTCTATAAGAAGAGTTTCTATTTCATTTAGGAGACAATTGAGAAATACGTAGTGCCTATAATAATTATCACTACTATTACAAAACAAAACCTATCCATCACGCATACGGATAATTTACTTAAATATGTGGACAAACGTTTTTTTACAAGAAATTTACAGCCCACTTCAAAGAAGCCCAGACAGTATTATTAACTTTCATGTAACACATATGGGGAAATATTGTAAAGTTGAAGAAATAAGATCTTGCAAGTGCTGCGTAGGGGACTGTCTAGTAATATGTCTTCAGGTAGGACTCTGGAAGGGGAAAGAATCGCCAGAAAACAGATGTAGTTTGTGATATAAAGACTGGAATGGAAGATGAGAAGAAAGAGACAAGGAGTCTGTTAAAGAGAAAGCTTGAAATAAGTAGTAGAACTGAGACCTTCCATGGTATATAAATGAAGTGGCATTACTCTGAGTATCCCTGAAAGAGAGAGGAATTTGAAGCTGAAAGTAACAACTGCTAATGAAAAGGCTACAAATTAAAAATGACAGGTGTGTGTGTGGGGGGTGGAAATATGAAGGCAGACTGATTATGGCAGAAGTTGAGACAGATGAGGCAGAAGATACAGAGAAATACTATACTGTTGAGGCTTAAGAAAGAAGCTTCTCTAAGTACTGTAAACAGAATCACAAAGTAATGAAAACATTTTAATGCAGAAAACGAAAAACCAGACCAGCACTGATAACTGCAGGAAAGCTGGGCACATAACAATGAGTTGCATTGTTGCAGAACAGTGAACGATAACAGGAAAGGAAGGACATGACAAATCTGGGGAAAAACACAGGATTGTTTTTCCCAAGTTGAACTTGAGGTTTCTTGCAAGACAGCTAGTAGTCTGAAAGAAAGTACACTGTATCTGATTACCTCAGGAAGAGTAGCTGAGGCAGAAGAAATGGATGAAGTTGCTTAGTGAGAATGTAAAGAAGAAAAATGAGAGACTCATAAAAGTCCAGTAACTGTCACTAAAAAGCAGTGGCTGAAGTACAGAAAATCAGAGAAACATAGGAAAGTAAAGAAAGGAGTGACCTTTTTATTAAGGAAACAGTAGTAGCTTAACTGAATGGGTATTTTTTGGAAAAGATGTATCTAGGTCTCTATGTAGTAAAATATCTGGATATTTCCAGAGTATTAGCAATATCTGGAAGAGAATGGAAGCTGTTGGTATGCTTATATTGGATTTGCTTTTTATTTTAAAGATCACATAAAAGCCAAATTGATGCAGACCTTTAAGTAATTAGATTAGGAAATCTGAGTTTTTGAAGCAGCACGGTACTGAGAGGAAGTGACTTGTTTTAAGAAAAAATAAAAATTAAAACTAACAAAATATTTTGTTGTGGTCTCCTACTCTGGCAATGAACGCATCAGAAAATTGATTGGGTCTTCATCTGTGCAGGCTGATTAAAGCATAACCCTATTGTCTGGAACAATATGGAAGGCAGCTAGAGGAAATAAAATCCACAGAAAACAAAACACACTTAGTCAAAAAATATACATATGTATCAAGATATTGATGTCTTAGGCAATAATTACAATGAAATATTAAAACACAGAAGAGTCACATGTGAAAACTGGTAAGATTTTGCTATTAAACAGCATAGCATTCGGACAGAAATTGCCTAAGAAACAGGGGAGCATTGAGGATGCTGTAATAAGTCTTTACTCAATTGCTTTGACATACATTTTAATCCTGATGGCATTTTTATTTGATCTGCTCTGTCAAGCACGGAAGAATTATGCCACAGATTGCATTAAAATGGAAAATTCTCTGCTTTTTTCAATTTTATTTTGATCAAACCAGTGTTAGCTTATGTTATATTCTACTAGCAATTTAGCTTGACTATGTGCATTTATAATGTTAAGAAAGTCTTTAGTGAAAGACTTTTTGAGCTCTTGTTTTGCTGCCCAGGCTGTATCGGAAGACCAGAACTCTGCAGTACAACATGCATAATATTATGTAACTTCAAAGGAAAATTTCTTACCTCCAGCAACTAGCCCAGACTCTCCTAACTGAATTGCTACCCCAAAGCCACCAAGCTTTACTGGGGCTGAATTCTCTTTTGAGGCAAGCAGTACACAGTGCGGCTGAAAAGACAAAAACCCAGACAAATTATTATTTGAGAAATACAATTTGCATTTTAGGACTTATTTTCATAAATTTGCAAACAGAAGCTAGAATTTTGGAGTTTTTTGGAAAGAGTTTCTTAATTTCAGATACTTTTTCCCTGGCAGGGACTCCTCTTTCTTCATTGGCTTCCATTTCAATTGGCCTAGGCACAGCAAAATCGTTTCAGGACTTAACTCGCAAGGAACACAAAGTGAAATCATAATAAAACGGAGATAAAAATTAACGTCTATAATTTCTTATCTGGTATTACTTTTTACTTTTCACCCTTAAGCCTTACACTGTTTCAATTGTCCAGCAGAAACATCCTTCCTAGGATACCTTTTGTCAGATCTTATCCTTCACATAGAGAACATAAACCACTATTCTGAGCCTCAATCACAGAATTCATTGATCACTTTCCAACTGAAGAAAAGAAAAGCAACATTCCTGTGATGTTTTCTAACAAATATTCCATTGAGATGGGAAATTGTTTAGGTTTCTAAACTGGATTCCAGGCACAGTCATCCATACCTTTGATTTTCCACAGTCTTTCCACTAATAAGAATGAGGCGTAATGTATAAAAATGGAGTAATATTATACAACAATTTGGATGGATACTGACCGGTGTAGAAGGAAGTAACATACAGACAAAATCTATCAGAACACATTTCAGTATTTAATATATATAGCCAAACTACTGCATTTAATATAGAACAACTTCCTACATTTGGTCAAAGCCTCCCTTTGCAGTCAACTATATTATTTAAAAGAAAGAATGTCAAATTTGTATACTGCTTCTGGAGAATACGTTACTGCTTAAATTACAAAACTAGAAACTCAAAATAGTGCAAAGGAGCTACAACAAGCTCAATCTAACTACCTGTAAAGTCGTCATCTGTAATCACCCATGTTTTCTTTTAAAAACTTTAAATTATATGAAAACAAGCGGTTTCAAGCAAGAATGTGTAGCCTGTTTACAAATCTAACTAAAATCTGCATTATCCCATAAAAAGCTTGATTCTTAAACTGATGATACATTAAGAAAGTCAACATGGAAATTCTCATTTCAAATGCTATGGAGAATACTAAGTCATGATAATGTTCTTGAGATGATCATTAAATTTAGGCTACCTTATAGCAGGACTTCTAGAATCCATTTTTAAATTTGCAATTTATAAGTTACACCAGGTCGTATTATGTCTGCATATTGCGTTTGACTTCTGCTTTACTGAAACTGTTAAGCTGCACACTTTGAGCACTTTCACATCCTCTCATCACTGTCATTTTGAGTGAAAAAGATCAAGCTCAAATTTCTAACCCCAGGCAAGGAGGAAGGCAGACGGGAGATCTACATCAACATGAGCAAAATGTACCATTTCATTGTGGTCTTGATTTATCTTTATCCTACATTTCAAAAAGTGATACTATTTCCATGACAGTACTAAAAAAAGAGACGGGCTGTATCAACATAATTGTCAGCCAAAAAGGAAGCTACTGACACTGCTCACCAGAAACAAAGCTTCTTAGAAAAAAATCCAAATCACCAATTCAGAGTGAAACTCAGAGAAAATTTTATTATAGAACCTCTCCCAGCAAAGTCCAAATCACCAGCAAAATTGATCTGTTCAACAAACTGAGTTCTGCTAGTTAAAAATATCTTTTTTAAAAAAACAGTTGCAACACTAGTTAAACTTCCCCTCGTTGCTAATTGTACTGTGTCAGCTGATTCACATCACTTTCATAGAGAAGCTGGTGCTTTAGCTTTCTAATAAGAGGACCTGCATGTTACTCCTCCCTATCTCCATCAGCGGTTTTGAAAATGTGCCGAAGTTCTTAATATATAAATGGTAAGTGGCTTCTTTTATACTTAAGCTACAGTAAATGAAATTTCTATTAGAATTTCTTTTAATTGCAAAGGTACTAATGACCTTCAAACCCTTTCTTAAATACACCTGTTTAAGCATGCTTGCTTGCTTACAGATGACAAAACTTATGAAATCAAGAAATTATGTTTCTAAGGCATCTGCAGCATAACCAATTTTTCTCTCTCTTTCATTGACCTTAAACTTGTCACTGCTTATGTGTCATGATGCCAAGCATTTTCATAGAAAAACAACATAAACAAGAAATTATAGTAAGATAGATTTCAAGATGTATTTGAAAGCACAATGTTTTTTAACCAAACTTCTAAAATTACTTCTTGCCCTGACAATATGAAACGACAAATCTGCAAACAGAAATATTTTTTAAAATGCTAACATATTGTACCAATTTATATGCAATTGTAAGATCAGCCAACAAAGGATGTTAAAGTATTTTAGCCTGTCCTCTCAATAATTCAAATTCTGTATGTACATTCAGTCTTAATAAGAATTTTACCTAAAGTGCTGCCATTTTCACTGTTGTATCACGTTTAAATGTAAATTTGCATTTTTAAAACCTAGCATGCAAATGAGACATTATTTTAAAGTTATGTATATGGCAGTGTATTGTTGCTTTTTTCTTGTTATCGTTGTTGGACAACTAAGTTCAGACTACGAAAAACGATTCTGATGTTTTTATGAGATCGGTCCCTCTTAAAAAAATTGTAAATAAACTCATTTATGGAATCTTTTATTGCTATGACATATAAATTGAGGACAAAAGACAGCTCATTGTCATTCTGCTCTCCTAATGACACACTTTTTTGGTTTTCATTCTTTGGTCAAAGCTAACATTTTTTTTCTCCAGATTGTACACTCCTGATCAAAAATAAACTTAGTGAAATTAAAAACTTTGTTTTCATTGTCTTCCTTGTTTTCATTTCAAGGAAGATGAGAAAACAACCTGTTACTGCATTAACGTGGTTTCTAGCTAATATTAGTTTCTTTGCATAATACCTATTTGTGAACAGTTAAGAAAAGGAGAAAATACTTACATTTACATGAAGATATAAATTATGAAAAACAATCTCCTGAAACAGTACTGACTCACAGTGTAACTTATAGCAGGTTACATAGCCAAATACATATTAATTGACTACTGCTTTTTTAATTGAAAACTAGTGACTTACATGCGAGAGATCCTGGGTACTTATTTAAAATTAATATTGATGAGCTTAGAATTGTTTTGATATATTCTATGTACTTTGTACCAACACTGAGAATACTTCACTTAGCTATGTTTACTTGTTCTTGCATCTTAATTAAAAAGTTTTCTGTCACGAAAAAACTAAACCTAACTTCAGAACTTAAAAAAAATAATTGTAATTATAAATAAAACAAAAAATTTAAATTTCTAAAGTTTGTAGGAAAACATAATAGTTGATTTTTAAAAAAAATATAAGACAGTAACGATGAATTACAAAAACAGTTATCTGAGTAAGTACTCTGTACCATCTGTTCTTGCCTACTTCATGTGAAGAAAAACAGGGAACCAATTATTCTAGACTCACATTGTATCGTGATATCCAGCTAAAAGTCCTTCTCCTACTCAGCGATATTCTGTGCACTTACTTTTTTTTCAGTTATGGCCTTTTATGTTTATATCACATAAGACCGTATATAATAAAGCAAGAAAACATGTGAAAATGATCCAATGGTGATTCAATTTTTAAAATTTCTCTTTGCATCCCTACAGAACAGCTAAAAATCCTCACAAATGATGGCTGCAGCTTCAGCTGATTTACTGACCATTCTTCCACACAAGGAAATCTTCTGGAGTAACCAAACTAACCTAGCCATAAATGCCTCGGAAATTCAAAACAATGCCATTTGTCCCTTAGATGACAACTCACTATCGCTTGCTTTGATAGTTTTTTACTCTATTATTTTTGTCGTTGGATTAGTTGGAAACATTATAGCCCTGTTTGCTTTCCTGTGCATCCACCAGAAAAGGAATTCTATTCAAGTTTACTTGCTAAATGTAGCGGTTGCAGATCTTCTGCTGATCTTCTGTCTTCCCTTCCGAATACTCTATCATGTTACAAAAAACACCTGGATGTTTGGACTGATTTTATGCAAGACTGTAGGAACTCTATTTTATATGAACATGTACATTAGCATAGTACTGTTGGGACTAATTAGTCTAGATCGTTATATAAAAATAAATAAGTCTGTAAAGCGTCCTAAAATGTTAACTACAACACGAAGTATACATATTTGTTGCATGGTGTGGGCACTTGCACTAATAGGATTTATAATAGTAGTTGCACCATCTTTCTATAAGAGTAAGGATAGCAATTCTACTATGTGCTTTCATTACCGAAACAAACAGAATGCGAAGACAGAAGCGATTTTAAATTATATTATTGTAATCATTTTTTGGATAGTTTTTTTCCTTTTGATACTTTCGTATGTAAAAATTGCCAAGAATCTTCTGAAAATTTCAAAGAAAAGAGCAAATTTTCCCAACGCAGGAAAATACACCCAGACAGCAAGGAATTCCTTCATTGTACTCGTTATTTTCACCACCTGTTTTGTTCCTTACCACGTGTTCCGGTTTGTCTACATTACATCACAGTTACAAAATCCATCTTGTTATTGGAAGGAGATCATTCACAAATGTAATGAGGTGATGCTCATATTTTCATCTTTTAACAGCTGCTTAGACCCAGTTATGTATTTCCTAATGTCCAGAAGTGTCCGTAAGACTGTATTCCAACTTATTTGCAGAAGACTTCATAGAGATTCACGCCTAACTCTAGAAAGCACTTCAGAAATAAAACTTGGACAATATACACAAGAGCGATTATCTACTACCACTCCTCACTCAAGTTCTTTGAAGAAGAAGTCTCTGATTTGATCATTTAAATGAATGAACACTGGCTTCTCTCTGTCACTCCAGGACATCAATTTAACATGTACCAAACGCAATACTGTGCAGCTACTAATCCTGCCTCCTTCTTCCTCTTAAAAAATGAGAAGTCTTACTTCTGTTCTTGAAAATGAGAAGTCACTTTTCCGAAGTATTTCGCTCTTGTTTATTCAAGAAAACAATAT